CATCAGAAGGACCTCTTTCCTCCAATACTACGAATCGGTAAAGAACCGATAAACTTGCATTTAACTTTAACTTCATTACCTTTATGTTTTTATGCTTGTTTTTCTTTTTTCTTTTTTTTTGCTTCAAATTCAACACTAAGGCTTGATTATATTGAGCATCCATTAAACAAAAAGTTCGTTCGCCAAATTGAAGATTATGAACCAAGTACAATTCCATTTGATGGATTAAGCCATTATCAAACAGAATATGTCAGTGAGTAAAAAAGTATTCATTGCAGAATAACGGAAATTATTTTAATACAGTAGTCTTATTAATTTTTAGCTCATTAGCTAAATGCTATATACAGTAAATATTTAAATAATTTGAATCTTATATATTTGTTTATTGTATTATCGCAGACTGTAAAATGTTATTGACTATTTTATTTCTAAATGAATCTATCTAAGCCAGCCAGACCAAAAAAATCAAATTTGTAAATGCTTTTTGCATCTGGCTCACAAAATTTAAAATTGTGGTGGAAATGTTAAATCGTGCTTTTAGTATAAAAGCTTTTTATCTTAATTCTGCTATTTATATCTTAGAACATGAGGTCATGGTGATAAATTTTCAATAAAACTCCATTTTCTCTCTTTTTTCTCTTGGATATTATATAGAAAAGGAGGTTAAACGTCCAAAGCCAGCTGTTTTAAAAGCCGCAGATCGGCCTCAGATGAAGTTTTATGGGGAACCAACTTACCGTGGTAAGTATGAGTTAAGGGATTCTGTATGCATCACATGGGATACAAATTATTTATTTTGTCTCATATCTGAGAGTTTTTAATTAATACCTATTAGGGGTTGAATGTCGTTAAATAAACTACTCAAAAAGGATATAGGCTTAGCCTCAGTTTAGCCATTCAAACCCACTGTAAAACTCATTTTAATAATAGATTTGATGAAAGTAAAGACCATAGTTTTCAACAATTTTGTTTTTTTTTAATCATTTGAGGAACTGATTAGTCCAAATATTTCATTAGCTATTTGATGAACTCTTGAAAATTCGAAGGCATACTCGTTTTAAGGGCTTCTATTGTATTCTATTAAATACTTTATGAGCCATATGTTACGAGGCTAGCAAATTTTACTATATCATGCAACACTCAATGATAGTCTTAATCCTCTTTCTAGCCCCTTTTAAGGTAGGCTGTCAGTTATGGGGGAAATCAGGTGTACACATTTGGAATATCCGATGTATATGGTTGAGCGGGACAGCCTCGATTATCCCTCTAATTTGGCTTTGAAATTTCTCTGAAGATTTTGTAAACTAATAAAAATTTGAACTAACGCTCTTTTTTAACTTTCGTTTTATTTTCCTGAGCTAATAACTCTCGCTTTTTTTTCTTATGCCATCGATTTCCTAATTCCTCTTAAATGGGTCGCTGAATTTTATGCCGTTTGTAGCTGAGTTTAAGCCTTGGAATGTGGAAAGAACCAAATTACATCATCCAGGAGAAGGCTACATGGCGCCGAAATCGCCATTTGAAGGGCTTCCTACTTATCAAAAGGACTACATTAAATATGAGTAAGTAAATAACTTTTCATTATTTCATCCCAAAACTTTATGGTATACCAAGCATATTACCAAAAAAAATCAAATAAATTATTTACTATTAAATGAGGTTTCTTAGAAATTACCAATTAAAAACCATTTTTATAGAGTGGTGCTTCCTGATGCCTTCTTGAGATGCGTCACTTAGTCTAGTATTTCTATCCCCAATGAGTAGCCTGAAAAGTGTTATTTTATATGGGCCTCAATCTGATACATTTTATTGTATCTACAACTAGTTACTTCCCAATTATATTCATTTTTTCATATATAATCGTTATAGTCTATGCGTATTGGTATATTTTACATTATTTAAATTTAAATTTGTTAAATATGGGAGAATTTGTAAAATACTATTAACCTTAGGTCATAAAGCATCGTTACTTTTCACAATTATGTGATCACTTTGTGCCTCACTGTGCACTTTATTGCAGCTTTATTGTGATTTTTCTTCTTGGTCGAATGTCTCAGTTTTAGCCAGCTGATCAAAAATTATAGTTCCATATATCCTGCAAAATTATGCAAGAAGAACTCATATGCTGCTGGTTTTTTACTTTTTGTTGTTAAACCTTAATCTTGATGGTCAGACTACCTCATGTTATTTGTATACCTATGTATACCTATTAAAAAAATAAAGATGTTGATTTAGCCTGCTTATCTAAATTGATTGAAGAAGTTGACCAACACATTAAGCCTAGTCTTTTGAACAATAAGGATCTCTTAATAAGTGCAAATGCTCAAGATCACCTTTTTGTTGGCGCTCTCTTTGCCCTCAGTAATCAAGGTCGTCAGGACAGCTACAAGCCTAAGATTACGTGGACGGCTAACAACCAGTCTCTGGACGATCGGACCGATTACCGAGACTCCTATGTAGACCATGGAGTGTATGTAAGAGCCGCGGCAGCCAGGCCGGATGCTAGTGAGTGGACTCGACCAAAAGCACCAATAGATGGTCTTACCACACATGCCAAGGACTACACACCGAAATTAGGAGGTAAGTGATCCTAAGCTCACTAATGCTTAATTACCCTTATAGGCATTTATAGTCTCTACTCTTTCTCGTATGCATAACTTTTTTATTTCTGGGCTGCAATCCTTAAGAATATTGTCAAAGCCAATTCACATATATTTGGAGAAAAACTAACATCAGGCTAATTTTAGATAAATCGGACAAATATGAAATACGTTTGTAAGATTATTTCCTATAATTTACTCTAATCTTACTCAAATCGTGGGGTAAGTCATTAAAAAGGTGATACTAAATGTCTAATTTTTATTTTTTTTTCAATTCCCGATTTACGCTATCTATTTTATTGTTCTTATCTAATAAAATACACCTCGCTGATTTGCAAGTCGCAATTTTATTTTATTTTATTCA